CGTGATTTAACCGATTCTGAAGGTTAGAAATTTTCTACCTACTATGGGGATTGAACCCGGGTCCTACCTAACACTAACCGACGACCCTACCGATTGAGCTATAGCGAACGATGTATGAAAGTGACGCAAAAACGGTATTTAACGTCGATTTGAACGGGTCGCTAAGATATTTTCAACCTACCTGGATTTGTCCGTGTATTTAGTTTACTTTACTATATTTTTTAACTATATTTTATCGTTTTACTTTGTTTTATTTCCTTGTTGTCTCTATTTTTTCTTCACTCTATTTTATTTTTTCAAGCATTTCATTTTTTTTTCTTTAATTATTTACTTCTCATTCCTTTACTTTGTTTTATATTTACTGTGATTTCTTTTAATACTTCATCATAATTTTTGGACTTCACTTTACTCTTAAAATTCATTCTATTCTTTAACATCATTTAGTTGTTTCCCTTATTTTATTTTTTCCTTCATCTCCTTGCTCCCTCTAATTATTTACTTCAATTTAGTCTTTGACTTCATTTTATCATGTATTTGATTTACTTTATTTTATTTCTTTTCTATTGTCTCTGTTATACCATAATTTCGACTATTCTATTATTTCCACTATTCTATTATTTTTTCTATTTTTTTCTCTTTAAATTTTTCATTTTCATTCTGAGAGTGGTAGGCTTAAAGGGGAGAAGAGACAGTATATAGCGCTAGTGCGAGAGAGAGAGAAGGTGCGCGTGACTCCGAGCCGTACTGCAGCTCCGGTGCGGAGTGCTTTGACTACACATGCAGCCCGTCTCAGCACCTACGCGCTGAACCGCACTCCCGTGTTCATTCTCACTCCGGATTTTCCGTCGGACGGAATCAACGATTTTTAACAGTGTGCCCTAGCGTATTTTTGAAACTTTATTCACCTTTTGCGGAATTTTTAGGGTAATTTTTTCACTTTTCCCTACGAAACAAGGGTTACACATGAATTCGTAGTGGTTTGTCACCTGCGTCACGGGCCCCTCCAGGGCCCGGGCCCCGGTACCAAGGACCCAGTATCCCTCCCATGTGGCGGGCCTGAATTAGCATCAACAGATGCTGTGAAAACCTGAGGGTGGATGATTTGCATATGGCTTTTCTATCTCCGCGATCATCAATATTCTGATAGAGGAGAACTTCTTTGAAGTATCCCTTTACAGAATTCCCTCTTTACAAATAAATTAAGAAGTTAAACACAAAGACGCACACACACATACAAACCGTCTTACGTGACGGAAATTTGAGAAGGAGCCTGCCCTACTGCTCAATTAATTAGTATGGCGCAATAAAAAAATTGGGATTTAATGCAATAAATCGCCACATTTTTACCATGAAATTGCAATATTTTTACTTCAGTTGGTCAGTAAACGTTGAATATAAACAATCAAAAATATGAATTCCATGTGTCAAAACGATAAGCTGCAATTTGCAAAGCAATACACTGCAACTAATTTCAATTTCATCAGCAATTTTTAATGAGAGGTTTGTCCCTTCGATCAGTGTATAGGCAACGTGCCCAACTTTCCAGTGCAGTTTCAATAATTTTACCGTGCATTTGCAATCTGTGCTATCAGGGCGGTAAAGTTTCTTCAAATACAATTTGTTCTTATGCCAGTCAGGTTGGTCCAATGGTCAGTGCATCTTCCAATAGTTCAACAAGTCCCCGGGTCTCTCTGGAGCACGAATCTTTTCATGATGGCACATTTTCAGAGAACTGATGAGTAGATCTACAGAAGCATATTTCACTTGGCCTTAAGCCCTGAAAATGCGAAAGTCTAGAACATGGCTGCACAGTGCACACTAACCCTGTAACTAGATGCTCTTTCAAATTTGCACAATCCTCACAAGGATTAACTATCTCAAATAACTTGACAAAAAATAAAAAAGGTTGAGAAACTTCATGAGTGACGTTTAACGATGTTTACGTCTTAATGATCCCTGTCACACCCGCCCTGTCAGGTTCTCCATCAGCCGGCAAAAGGGCAGCCTATCTTCTAACACGAAGAATGTCACTGACAATCTTTAGATTCTAATATCAAACACTGAAAAAAAACACATTGGATCTCGAGTCCAGGCTCTTAAAAACATCGACAAGAAAAAATACTCTTGATTCAATCAGAATCTAGCTTAAATCAAGAACCAAGCATCTTAATTTAAGCGGATTTCGTTTTGATTCAAGCAAAAATCCATTTGAATCAAGAGTATTTTTTTTTCGTCAATGTTTTCAAGAGTCTGGACTCTAGATCCAATTTGTTTGTTTTTTTTTCCAGTGAACCAAGATGCCCAAGAATGTTCATAAATGAGCGTTCTCCCGCTAAAATGTGTAAATTCATGCAAAAACTATTATAGCGAATGACGTACCCACCACTAAATCAGTCCATTGAAAGGCTCTTTTGGAGAAATTTGTAGAGTTCTGTGCAGATTGGCAGCACCGACTGTGAGAGTGAGAAGAGGACGCAGGAAGAACCGATCGATGCGGTTTCGACTGCTGCTCCACTTCCGAAAACCCGAGCAAAGAGGCCGCCGGTTAAAGTCTGCGGGTTTTTTTTTTCGTCTTTCTCTTTGCGAATAAAAACATTTTATTTTTATGCCTGATTATTCAAATCATTGTTTTTTCAATTCAAATTGATGACCGTCCATTAACATCGTCAAGCTTTTCTCCAGATTTAAACCCCTCTCTCTCCCCGTGTCACGTCTCACAGAGGCCAAACAAAATTTGGAAACTTTAAACGCTTATAACTCCGTTTATACACAATTTTGAGGTTCTGAAAGTGGTTCCATCGGTTTTTTCGTGAAACTTTCCTCTAGAAGCACTCCTCAAAATTTAATATGTGACGAAGTACACAACAAAATTTTCAGTTTTAGTCAAAAATTGTATGTCCGACTCTCTGACTGACTCAATCCCAATGTGCCTCCTCTCTCCCTTCTATGCTCTTTTAAGGCGGCCAGTCACGCAGTTCTAGAACCCCCTTCCCCGAAGTGCCTGGCTTCATTTTTGGACGGACCCTAATTATTAATTAAATGTAATTTTTGAACAGACGGTTCTTTCCATGGCATATAAATATTGTTTGGCTCGTGCAAAATCAACTATGGCCGTATTTAAATAATTTATACCTCTGATATATATTTTTTCGGATCAAGCTCAAGCACGTTATACATGTGAGTAAATTCTTAATTAATGCTTTTATTAGCCCTTTTCACAAGCAGCGTTGATTTCTTTTTTCTTTTTTTACTCTATTGATTGATTGAGACACAGGGGACTAAAAGATATTAACTTAAAGTAAACGATAATGAAAGATAGTAACTTAAATTAAAATGTAAAGGGTAGAATACAGCCATAATGTGGATTATATCGCCTCTTCTTATTTGAATTTCACCCCTCACTTATCGCAAAGAGAAAATATTTAAAATAACAAATTGCCGCCAATGACATTACACAGAGATAAAACCCATCACAAAAGTTCGGTCAATACGGAAAGTAAAATACAAAATGACCCAAGCTTTCGTTAGACTCTGGGGTTTCCCAGTCCCTCCATTGTTTTCTTCGCTTAATTTACCGCAAAATGTACCATGATCAACACAGAATTTTGTTTGGTTTGTGTTCGTAAGTCCAAACAGTTTTTTTTTTTTATAAGACGCTCGATGGACGGGGTGAGGAAGGGGAGTAAGAAGCGGCCTATGGGGGCGCGCAGTGCCCCGGGGGTTTGGCCGCGTAGTGGCCAAGGGGCGAACCTCCTACATAGCATCAGATAAAACCTTTTAATCTGAAGGTACGTTGCAACCCAATTTTGCTACCCATGTAACGGCGCAGAGACTTAAACGCAAGGGTAGAAAATCAAGCAGAATATGTGGAGAACATTATGAGAATATTAAAGAATCTTAGGTACCATTTTAAAATATTTCAGAATAACCTCACAATAGTTTAGCGCTTTCATTTGAAAATACTTTCAATATGTTCTGAAATGATACAGAAAGGCCAGGTTTGGTTGAAATATTGTAAACGGAGATGAAATTCTGACTCGAATGTGGGATGCTTTTCATTGTTCAGTGCATGGTTTTCTAAACAGAACCGCATTTTTTAGCATGGCATGAAAATATTTTTTGTAGCTCGAAAAGTGCCCATGTATCCTCTTGATCCTACACTGCGTCAATGGAAGCGCAAATTTTTATATTTCTTGCTTCATCTGAAAGTCCTTGAAGAGCTGATTTCAGAGTAATTTTTATAATTTTTTTCTGATATGAGAAATAGTCTAAAAACATATTTATAGATGTAAGAAAATTTACCGACAAGTTACGTCATCTGAAAGAATTTCCCATTAAAACATGTGTTTCAGAAAATTATATCATATTGTCATATCCTCTCCAATAATCGTTCAATATATGAACCAAAGGATATCCTCGTGTTTAGACTACACACAGGCCACATGAAAGTGAATGGTATTGCTGATTTAACAAGATTATAGTTAGAAAAAGTGTCAGGCATGTTCAAATGTAGATTCTACAATTAAAAAATGCTAATTTAACCATCCCCGTTGTGAAATTACCTTTCCACTATTGTAAAATGTACATTTGAAACATGTCGGACATATTTTTTTCCCAATTAAATTGATAAACCAACAATCCATTTTTTGCCGTGCACATCGAAGTTTTGACACCTGGAAATTCTCCATTGCTGTTGTTGCGGCGAAGTTGGAAAAAAAGAAGTAAAAACAAGCAAAAAGTGCGATTTGCAATCTCTAATTACAACGGCATGGAGAATCCTCCAGAAAGTTCTTTTCCACAACAAAGACGTCGGACAGTTGGACGTCATGCAGATCCGAGAATATCAACAGAGATCTGTTTCACGGAACCTCACCTGAACCAACTTTACCGCGAGTGACCCTCCCCCTCCCTCGCGGTTAGGCGGAGACACGGCCGCAGACGAGATGGGGTCCTCCCCCCCGCTCCCCCCGCCAGCACCCGTTCCGGCAGACTTTAGTTAGCCCCATATAAAACGGTGGTTCTGGGCGGGTGGAACACTTGTTATATTGGTCCCGTCAGCATCGGTGAAGTGCAGTGTTCCGCGCACGCCCTTTCGTCAGCGTTTTCTAGAGTGTTCGTTTTCACTAGCCTTTACAGGTACGACATCGCATTTTCTTTCCTCGACGCTAATTGAATCAATGAGAACGAAAACACATTAACTCGGTAACTCGAATATGCTCAATTTCCACTAAAGACAGTTAATTCACATAAAGGTCATTGCAGTTAACGCATCTGTTCCAACTTGGACCTTTAAAGTGTCCATAAGTACTTGTCTTTTGGCAGCAAAAATATTTTCCTTAAACTAACTTCTTCACCTACTGTGCAGTTTTGTGTGCGTGTCTTGATTTTTTTCCTTTCATTGAAAAAAAGAGAATCTTATAAATTTGCCGCCAAGAAGTACTTCTTCTTAAATCAAGAATTTTGTTGCTTAATTTAAACAACTTTTTTGCTTAACCCAAGCATTATTTTTCTTGTTTCAAGAAAAATTCAGCTTTAAGCAAGATAAAAAAAATTCTTGGCGGCAAATTCAAGAATCATCATGCATAAGCCAAGCTACTTTTTTTTCAGTGTTTTCCGAGTTGGTGTGTTTTCGTTCTCACTGATTCAATTTTCGATCCTACACGCTTCAGCTGTTGTTTTTTTTTTTTTTTTTTTTTTTTTTTTTTTTTTTTTTTTTTTTTTTGGGGAACGTTGACAAGAAAAATAAATAAAAAGTGCGCATCACAATCTCTGGTTACCAAAAATAAAGAGAAAATTAAATTTTTTTTAAGAAAAAATGGTTGCGCACCTATTTTAGTTTATTTTGGCGTGACGTTCTGAAGATATGATCACTGTCTTTCTTAGTGTGTTCGCGATATAGTTTCGGGTCTTTCGCTCCCTTAAATGTGATCACCTGTCGGGAACGCATTGAGACGAAACTTTTCGTAGAGCGATTTTTGTTTAGCCCGCTGGAAAAATCGGATTTTAAGGTTTCGATCGAAATCGCTTTCTTGTGTCTTGAAAACACATTGTGACGGCTCAGTATTTTGTGCCAACAAAGAGTGTAAAGTTGCATTATAATCCGGCAATTTCGCACATGACAGGTTAGATGTCAATCAGCTTTTTCTCGAAACCACGTTTTGGGATTGCAAACTTTAAATGTCATTACTCAGGTCCGGCTTGGCATTTTCGGGTGTTCGTCCCAAAATTTTTGTAGAGTTCTCCGGTATGATCCGGTACCAAGAACTTAGTTTTGAGTATTTTTGTGGACAACAGATTTTTTTTGGGGCCAACTACAAATGGTCAAATCTAAACACGGCAGCGTGTTCCTGAAGACACAGGGATCGTATCCTAGAACTGAATGTCCAGATAAATTAAAAGATCAGGAAATGCAAAACACACACCGTATTTTTTATGCTATTTTTATTACAATTTCGTTTGTTTTTACTGAGTGTTTATTCGTATAATGCCTCGCACAATTCCAATCGAGATCTCAGAACTCAGAATCTGCACAATGCACAATTCGACCACTTTCTACTACTCTTTCGTAGATGGTTTTTTATTTCATCGACTTTTTTCCGATTTCCGATTTGTGATTTATTACTAGACTTCTGTTACAACTTATAGTATATTATTTAGTAATTAATTTTCCAATCACAAAATTTTATTACGAGGACCCATCCAGATTCTGATAACTTGAAAGGAAATATGGATCCAGCTTGTGTATTAATCTGCCGTAAAAAATCAACTAAATTTCTAAATTCTAATTCTAACACTATTTTCTAAATTTTCTATGCAAAATTCCAATTTCGTAAAAAAAATACATCGGTTTTAGCAGTCCTAACTTTCTGGAGAGAAAAATCGTTTTTCAAAAGTTGCCAAGTTGTCCGCCATATTTTGCCGAATGGCTTCACATGGGATCTTTTAGTTTGTTTTCTCATTGATCTTTCTTGGCTCGTTAATTTTTTTCCTTGATTATTTTTTCAATCGTTGGATATGATTAAACCTGATATCTCAATAGTCACCAGGTCATTAAATGAATCCGAATAAAATTTATGTCTGTGAGAGACAACACTGCGGTAATTTTTGTGAGGTTGCGGAAGGTTTACATTCATATCCTTGCGTTTAAGTCTCTCAGGCATACTTGTTTATCATTGAACGCAACGATTTTTTGCATTATTAATGCTTGCATCAATATTTTGGTACGATTGTTTTATGTTTGCAGTTTTTAATGACCCAAAAACGTTCAATCGTTGATACGTTCTCAAAATTGAAATACGTGAGTTAGTTTTATCTAAAAGTGAACTTCTGAGAAGAAAAAATGAGGATTTTAGATAACATAAAATTATGAATAGACGTATGTCCGGAGATTATTTTTGAAATGACAAGTGCTAGCTTCTAATGGAGCCCACCTACATATCTGTCAAAGCTACCCTTATATAGTAAGAGGCTTTTCTCTGATCGGGAAAAGAATTTGCTATTTTTATCACATCTTGAATATCTTAAAAAATTCCACTCGTTCCTGTCTAGACGCTTTGTTGACACCTTAAAATCAAGTAATTGAAAAGATCAACTATTTTTATTTTTTTAAAAATCTGAGATATTTATTAACTAGCTTTAATTAAGACGGCACTGGAGGGAAATTTCAAAGAAAAAAAACATAAGAATTAGACAAACAAATTAAATGTCCCTCAGAATTGCCATACGGTAAGGGAAAATAAACATCAATTGCCACTTCAATGGATTAAGACTTCACCTTCTTATTTTCTTCTTCCTCTCATTTTTCTTTTCCTTGCCAATATCTTAGGGCATAACCCCAGTTTAGTAAGGGCAATTTGTCTGATACCTTACCATATACTCACGAAAGTAGATGAAATAGAAGAAAATTTAGCTTATGTCCTAACAAATAGTATAGTATAGGGAGATTTTACTGTTTGATCGTTATAAAAAAAAAATTACCAAAAAAAAACAAAAAAGTACTGAGCCCATCTTTTAGGTGGTCAGTCGGGCTTCCTCCTGTTATGTGGTCGTTTAACCAGATATACATGAACCGCGCTAAGCAGAAAGGAACTATACTAAGTCACATCAGCTAATGCCAAATTTTATTGGGAAATTTAATTGTTAATATGAAAGCGGTTGTGCAGATTTGTGTGCAAATTTCAGTGAAGTTTCTGCATAGTACGAAGCGAATTCCTCAACATTTTCAAAGGTATATCCCTACGAAGTTCTCTTGTAAAAAATCAAATTGCCCAGTCAAATTTGACAAAAACTGATGTGCCCTGGTTCCTTTCGGCTAAACGCAGTCCGTGTAGTTATCAAGACCGTATTTGATACTGGTTCGAAGTATCGTTTAGTTCAAAACAATAGAACATAACTTCGAATTTTTTTTTTCAGGATTTACGTTGAAAAAGCTGAAAACGAGAGAATTCCTAACCATTTCACTTTTCATCGGCATTTGGTGCTCAGAAGAATAAAAAATCTATCCCAAAAGACCCGTTCCCTCAGATTTCTAAATTGACTTTTGAAGCCATGTTTACATGCTGAACCAATCGATATCGATACAATCGCACTTGTTCGATGTATCGAATACGATATGTAACGATACGACACCAAACGCAAGGTATCACGATTCGAGACACCAGTGGCGTGGCGTGAATAATCGATTATCGATATCTCGCTATTTGAAACTATGGTAAAGAATCGATTACTAAGGTGTTCGCTGAGAACACCCTGATAATCGATCTTTTTTCACAGGTTTAAATGGCATAACAATCGATATATCGCAATTCACGCCACGCCACTGCGAGACACCTTTCTTTTTTGCTCTCGAAGCAAAGACGAGCGACGAAAAAAAGGGCAGGAAAAAACCGTTCACCCACCAGATCGATCAAATCGTCGCTTAAGTCGCTATTACGCCAATCGGACACCAGACAGAAGTCCGGCCGGATTACACCACCGGTTACGTGTCGGTCGTCACCAGCCACCGATGAGTCGGGCGCACCGTTGTCGGATGACCGCGGACCCGCCGTACGTCGCCGTAAGAGCCGGCTCGAATTAGGAGGATTTTCACACGCGGCGGCTCTTGAATAATCGTTTCACCGCTTGTCTCATCGCTCATCGCGGAGGACATCGGATTTTCGCGCTCTGGTGCTCCCGAAGGTCCCCGAAGGTTACCCTTTACGAGCGATTACGATCGACGTCGATATCGGTCCAGTTTCGTTGTGTAAATGCCACGTCAACCCTGAGGACCCGCTTAGACGTCCACGTTTGCCGCGCTTATCTGAAATTTGCTTACATTTACACTGGAAAGAAAGTCGCTTGGATATAGAGCCCAGACTATTGAAAACAATGTCAAGAAAAAAAAATACTCTAGATTCAATCGGATTTTTACTTAAATCGAGAACCGATCTTAATTTAAGTGGATTTCCTTTTGATCCAGGCAAAAGTCCGATCAAACCAAGAGTATTTTTTCTTGTCATTGTTTTCAAGAGTCTGGACTCTAGATCCAAGCGACTTGTTTTTCCCAGTGAGGTCAGGAGTCGGGAATGGGCCTCGAGACGCTTTAGAGCATTTGCTAGCCGTGGCTCGTACAGAAATACACTTACGGCTCAGTGACGTGTTGTACTTTGCGATCCATCGATTGATTAGCCATTTGGACCGCGTTCAGTAGAAAGGAACCAAGCCACATCACCTATTGCCAAATTTAACCGAGCAATTTAATTTTTTTGAGGAGAACGTTTGTGTGGATTCCTTTAAAAATCTTACGGAATTCGTCCCGCACTATGCGAAAAATTCACTGAAATTTGGACAAAAATGAGCACAACCTTTTTCATGTAAAATATTATATTACCCAGTTTAATTTGGTAAAAGCCGATGTGGCTTGGTTCCTTTCTGCTTAACGCAGTTAATTTAAACTTATGGAAAAGGATCAATAAGCAGGATGTTCCAAACAGCACCTTATATAATCGATTCTTTACCACAGGTTTAAATTGGGATGTATTTATAATCGATCATTCAAGCTTCGCGCCACTGAATTTTAGAGCAGGTATCAGTCGAGAAAATTTATTTTGGAGACCCCACACTGACACTCTGAGTATTATAATCAAGTTAGGCAAAAG